ATTTGGCCCGTCTATCACCAACATAGGCCAATCAGCTAACCAGTATTTTCGCCCCTTCCCACAATTACTTCATATGCGGAGCAAATCCATCTGGCGGAGTCAGGTTACTATAACCCTTCTTTTTATTCGAACCTCTGACAATTTATTACCATATGAGTTGCAAACATACTGTCAAAAGGCTCAGAACGTTGGACCGAGAATTCATGTGAGACAAAGAGTGATATATTAAAAGCGTTTATTAATACGATGTGCGGCTGCTCGTCAGCTTAGGCGGGCTCACTGGATTCTCTGAAGGAGTAGAGGCTCAGGTCAGTGACTTCAAAACTCAAACAGGGAACAACAATGAGCATGAAAGCCACCAACCTGGCACAGTTCAGTCTGAGCCCAGAAGAATGATTGAAGTCCAGAGGAGGGGACTTCCTTTGCTTGTTACCAGAGATCCAGGAGAAAAGAGGAGCAGCCAGAGCACGCATAGGAACTGAAGGATCCAGGAGGGTTAATCCGAGCCGTGGTCAGAAGGCAGGTCCAAGGTCGACAGCAGGCGGAATCCAGGTGACAGCACGGAAACACATGACAAGCAAAACAGAGCAGAGCAGGGGCGGCCAAAGCTAAGAAGCCTGTGGGCAGAATCGTCTGGAACAGGCAGAGCTAAACCCAGGGTACGCTAGAGTTAGCCTTCCTAGAAGCTCGAATAATCTGGCACTGAAGGCTGGGATCTGGTGGCTTAAATAGCAGCAGGAACAGGTGGATCTGATGAGAGATGATGAGCGCAGTGCGGAGCAAAGCTGATGAGAGCAAAAAGGAGTAAAACCCAGCCTAAAGGTGCCAAGATAATAAAAAAAAAAATACAATGGGTCTTTGTAAAACGTGGCATTTATTGTTTCATTCTAGGAAATACATTTATATTGGCCTTTTATGAAAATAAGGGTTTACCTGTTTTTGAAATTAATTAATTAAGCAATTTTTCTACTTGCAGTTGAAACATTGAAGGTTTTTGTCATTGGCAGTTCTGAATTCTGACTTCATATGGAAATCAGAATTCAAATGACTTATTGATAGTCAATTTAATTCACTTTATCGATCCATAATCCAAGTCATACATTTTTCTTCAATGACCTGTTGTACATGTTAATAGTCATAGGCAGGACAGATCTTAGTGGTCTGTCATCATCAGGATCTGGAGAAGCCTTTGACTGATTATGCTATTGTCCTTTAACAATCTTCAAAAGAGGGTTATCATGGTTATCCACAAAGTTCCTCATTTTATGAAGAATTTTTCTTTAGGAATTCATTGCCAGAGGTTCTACAGGAGTTTCTAGAGCTGAACTACTCTTCATATCAGCATATGGAGCTTTTTTAAAGCTCATTTATGGAGGCAGATATCTTTGAGCTACGGCGGCACAGAGCAGACAAACTAGTGACTGTTTACGCTCAAATGTGACTAAGGCAAGTATAGAGGGTTGAAGTGAGATGGTTGTGAACAATAGATGGCAGTACCACGCTGAAAAAAGCTGTTTCTCCCTGACATAGATTGACGTCACTCATAGATTACTTCTCAAACTACTGACAACCGTAATTTTATTACATGTAGTGGTC